TCACACACACACACACACACACACACACGCTTCACTGAAACACACAGCTAATGCGATGACATCACAAAGAGAACGAGTGTGTTTGACGTCACTAACTGCACAATATACTGCAGACTCATTTTTTAAGAACATGTTTTAATGCACTGGTCAGTTTTGAGATTTCGTTTCAGACTAGTAGAAGAAAAAAAATTCAAAATACACATTTAAGTGTTTATTTCATTGATTTAGACGGCAGATTTAAATTCCAATCCATATCTTTAAAGGTTTTATTCCTATCTATATTCTGAAGGTTTTACTAAAGCGTTTGTTCATATATCATTCACACTGATTAATATGATATTTTTATTCCTAAAAGTGTTGTTTTTTTTCTCTGTGTTGACAGTATTTTCTGATTTATGGAATGATAAAGAGAAATCCAAAATCCTCTCTGGAAAAACCTTACTAAACTCTAATATGACAACAAAATTATAGAGAATTTATGTTCTGGAAATGCATGCTAATGAGTGCATATTTAATTAGATAATGCCTCATTTGCGTATTTAAACAACATTTTAGAAAACTTACACTACTTTAACTTCTACTTTTTATTTTACAACTGTGTCTTTTTTCCTTGCAATTGTGAGTTTGTCTCACAATTCTGACTTTTCTTGTAAAGAATTGCGAGTTCATAATTTGCAATCCTGAGTTCGCAATTCTGCCTTTTCTATGAACTCAGAATTGCAAAAAAAAAAAAAAAAAAGTTACCTGTATTTATTTAATTATTTCACGTGATGGAAATAAGCATCCATAATGAACTGGTACATTATGGTGATTTTGTTTTAACCCTATTAACCTTAAAAAGGATGTAAAACTGTGCAGTGATAAGTTGTTAAGCAGTTATCGTCTCAGAAATGATTATGGTTATTTTGCCTTTTTAATCTAACTTTGCGTTTAAAAACAGCCTAATCGATGTCAAACAGATTCAGCAGAGACAGTTTGAGCAGCGTGTTATTATTAGCGTACGTGATGACATCACCAGAACACACACACACACACACACACACACACACACACACACACACGCTTCACTGAAACACACAGCTAATGCGATGACATCACAAAGAGAACGAGTGTGTTTGACGTCACTAACTGCACAATATACTGCAGACTCATTTTTTAAGAACATGTTTTAATGCACTGGTCAGTTTTGAGATTTCGTTTCAGACTAGTAGAAGAAAAAAAATTCAAAATACACATTTAAGTGTTTATTTCATTGATTTAGACGGCAGATGTAAATTCCAATCCATATCTTTAAAGGTTTTATTCCTATCTATATTCTGAAGGTTTTACTAAAGCGTTTGTTCATATATCATTCACACTGATTAATATGATATTTTTATTCCTAAAAGTGTTTTTTTTCTCTGTGTTGACAGTATTTTCTGATTTATGGAATGATAAAGAGAAATCCAAAATCCTCTCTGGAAAAACCTTACTAAACTCTAATATGACAACAAAATTATAGAGAATTTATGTTCTGGAAATGCATGCTAATGAGTGCATATTTAATTAGATAATGCCTCATTTGCGTATTTAAACAACATTTTAGAAAACTTACACTACTTTAACTTCTACTTTTTATTTTACAACTGTGTCTTTTTTCCTTGCAATTGTGAGTTTGTCTCACAATTCTGACTTTTCTTGTAAAGAATTGCGAGTTTATAATTTGCAATCCTGAGTTCGCAATTCTGCCTTTTCTATGAACTCAGAATTGCAAAAAAAAAAAAAAAAAAGTTACCTGTATTTATTTAATTATTTCACGTGATGGAAATAAGCATCCATAATGAACTGGTACATTATGGTGATTTTGTTTTAACCCTATTAACCTTAAAAAGGATGTAAAACTGTGCAGTGATAAGTTGTTAAGCAGTTATCATCTCAGAAATGATTATGGTTATTTTGCCTTTTTAATCTAACTTTGCGTTTAAAAACAGCCTAATCGATGTCAAACAGATTCAGCAGAGACAGTTTGAGCAGCGTGTTATTATTAGCGTACGTGATGACATCACAAAGCACAGCAGAAGGAAATTTCCCGCGCTCTCCGTCAGAATGCTGTTGGCACGGCAACAGCAGCGCGCGCATTCTTGGCAGAGAGAATTCCCGCCTCGGGCCGTTTGGAAACCGTTGGTGATATTAGGCGGGAATAATTGAGACGCTGATTGCTCCTTCACACCAGTAAATGAGATTATGCTCTGTTGATCTTTCATTAACAAACCTAAAGCATGATTATGAAAATCTCTTCCTGCTGCCTGGAATGCATATTCCATTACATAAATCATACAGCTACAATAAAACACCAATCCAATTTCTGCAGAATGCGTCATTTGATATAATGAGCGATTCGATAGGCACCTTAAAATTGTAATAATCTGTTATTTCAAGTTAAACGCCATCGGTCACGTGCTGTCGATCTCCAGCACTCATTAATCAGTTTTAAACACTAAATTAAAGTTAACAGGAGACTAGTGTGACAGAATCGCCTACTAACCTTGCCTGTGTGACGCGGAGTCCTCGTCACGAACATTCGCCTAGAAACGGTTTACAGTTAACACACTTTACCGCTCTAATGACTCACCTTCACGCTGATTAATTAAGTGATTAAAAGTTAAGAATGTACTTTCTGCAACACTAGTCAGGGTTGTTTTCTATGGAAGCCCGTTTCCGCCACTGAACAAATAAAAGATTATTGCGACTTTTTATCTCACAATTCTGACTTTTTTTTTCTGAATTGCGTGATAAAAACTCAAAATTGTGAGATAAAAACTCACAATTTCAGATTTTTTTTCTCTCGCAAATGCGAGTTTGTATCTCACAATTCTGACTTTTTTCTCGCAAAATACACATTTAATTGTTTATTTTATTGAATTTAGATTGCAGATTTCAGACGTTTGTTCATATATCATTCACACTGATTTATATTATATTTTTATTCCTAAAAACATGTTTTTTCCCCCGCGTGTTGACAGTATTTTTGCGAGTTTTTATTTCACAATTCTGACTTTTTTCTCAATTGCTTGTTATAAAGTCAGAATTGTGAGATATAAACTCGCAATTCATAGAAAAAAAGTCACAATGTCGAGATTTAAACTCGCAATTCCGTAAAAGTTGTCAGTATTGCGAGTTTGTATCACACAAGTGCGAGAAAAAAAAAATCAGAATTTTGAGATAAAAAGTCGCAATTACCTTTATTTTTTTATTCAGTGGCGGAAACGGGCTTCCATAGTTTTCCCTGCGTTTGCGTGGGAAAAAAATCAAATCACTGCCAGAGTTAAAAACAGGGTTGCCAGGTTTTCAAAACAAAACCCGCCCATTTGCTACTCAAAACCGGGGAGTAAAATACACGCAAAATACACATTTTTGGCGGGGTTCCCCTGGTAAAATTAGTATCCTAGGGGATAAATATCATGTTATGGGGGTCACTTTAACCCGCGGACATGAAAACAACCCGCGACAACAGTGTTAAAAAAGGGGACTTGGCAACACTGGTTAAAAAGTAGTCCAATTCTGCGGGAAAACCGAGTTTGCGACCAAGCTGAATTATAATGTGTTTGATTGATATTGGCTCAACCAATGGTATGAGTTTAGGGCGGGTCTATATCTGTTTGTCTGATTAAAGAATTGAAAACAGCCATTATTTTTCCAGTTCTGTTTGGTTTTCCAGAAAATACACAATATTGTGTTGAGGAACCAGACAAAATTATTTTTTGATAGTCGGTCACAGTGTATACGGAGCTTAAAGGAACTGGATTATTGTGATGTTTTTATCAGCTGTTTGGACTCTCATTCTTGATGAAGAAACAAACTCATCCACATCTGTTTTTCGCACGGACAACAAACTGAAGACAGACGAGTCAGAGCGAGTGAATTATATTCAATCATTTCAGCATCAAAACGTCTTACAGTAAAACAGGTTTCGGCATTCTACTTTCAGTGATTGCATTCACAAATGCATTATAAATAATATTAAAATATATTATCCTCACCATCACAGGATAGAAAAGAACAGAATCTTCTGTGAATCAGCTCAGAATAGCAAATATGTACGAATCAAGATATTCAGATAAAAAGAGCATCTGTGCATTTAAAAACATCATCAGCAGGAAACGCTACAGTTCTCCATCAGGACTCAGTCGGTCTTTTTGGTGGTTTCTGCGTCCTTGGGGCTGGTTTGGTCCGGTTCGTTGGTGTCGCTGGGTTTCCGGTCTTGTGCGTTGGGTTTGTTGTGGTTCGGGGAAGCGCAGCAGCTCTGGGTCGGGTCGGTCAGAGGTGAAAATGTCAAAGGTCGAACAAACAGAGTCTTGTAGAGCAGAGTCTCCACCGCTGAAAACGGATACGATGACGAACCCAACAACATCATCCGCGTCTGAAACAAACGTGAGACTTCTCTTTTTAAACCAATTGAAGGAATGAATAAATTTGAGGAATAAATTCAAGGGAACACAGTACATTAAAATATAAATGTCTAGAAAGCAGAAAATGAGTTTGAAAATATAACTTCCACCAGCACTCCATTACTTTTTAATTAATTGTATGCACAAAAAAATAGCTTAACTAGAATATAGAAATAACTTTTACTGTATATTCTGAACAGAACGCACAAAAATTATGTTTTTCGTCTTGTTTTTCAGTGCAAATGTCTAAAACTTCTTAAATCAAGACGCAAAAATTACATAAAAGTCTGTGATAAATGGATTTATAATTTTAAAAAGGCCAAAAATATGCCAATGGGCTCAGAAAAATCAACTTAATTCATAGAGAAACAAGTTTTCATTCCCCACTGACTTGTTCTTGTTTTAAGCATAAACTGACTTCATTTTGTTCAGTTTCTCAGGAAACAAGACTTCATATCTTCATTTTAATTCTCAAGTAAATATATCTTGTTTTAAAGATGTTTGTACTAAAAAACAAGATATAAATACTGAGGAAGCCATTCTTTGTTTTTTTTTTGCAGTGCATGCAACATTTAATGCAATGACTTTATGAATGTAATAGTTGAGATCTTTTAATTTGTGGAGGGGTAAATTAAGATTTAAGAGCCAAAGATGAACACACAAGCTCAAATCCTCAGCCGTACTAATAAGTGAAACAGAAAGCTAACAGAGAGAAAGCTTGTCTTGAGACGACGCGTGACGCCTGCAAGGTCAAAGGCTGAGAGCGTGAGCGAACGGAGAGATCTGACTGAAGAACTCAAGATTTACCGTCAGTCGCGCTCAAGAACTTCACTCTTTTTAAAGCAGAATGATGCAATTTCATGAAAATGATGCAAAAAGCGAGAGAACCGTGTAAGAGTGTAAAGCGGCGCGGCTCATACTGAAGGGCGAAAGAGACTCACTTTGATGAGCTTTAGCAGGTCGTTCGTTAAATTCAGTCAAACGAATGCGAACAGACGTCTGTCCAATTAAACCACGACCCGCTGATCAATCAAACGCTCTCTTTGCTTTGTTTTTAATTGTGAAATCACAGCTAATATTCATTTATCAGTAAATGAACACAGAGGGTGAGCTGTAAATGGCATTCAATATCACTGCACTCACACACACACTCACTCACACACACACTCACTCACTCACTCACTCACTCACTTTCACAATCACTCACTCTCACACACACTCACTCTCACAATCACTCACACTCACTCACTCACTCACTCACTCTCACATTTACTCACTCACTCACTCACACTCACACTCACTCTCAATCTCACTCACTCACTCACTCACTCTCACACTCACACTCACACTCACTCTCAATATCACTCACTCACTCACTCACTCACTCACACTTTATCTGTCATTTTACTGTCAACCCACATCCAGCTTTAACATTTTTTCTATGATAATACGTCCATACTCAACACACAAACTTGAAACATACTACTTTTTATTCATCAAAGAATCCTGAAAAAAGTATCAGTTTCCAAAATAATATTTGTCAGCACAACATTGATAATAATAATAATAAATCAGCATATGATAATGATTTCTGAAGATCATGTGACACTTTATACTGGAGTAATGATGATGGAAATTCAGCTGCGCATCACAGAAATAAATTATATTTTAAAGGATATTAAAATAGAAACCATTATTTTATATTGTAATAACATTTTGCAAGATTACGGTGTTTTTGATCGAGTAAATGCAGCCTTGATGAGCAGAAGAGACTTCTTTAAAAACATTACAAGTCTTACTGATCCCAAACTTTTGACCGGCAGTGTATATATACAGTAGATATAGTACAGTGTGTGTGTATAAATACAACATACAATAAAAATATATGATATAATTCTCTAATATTTATTAATATAATATTAATCCATTTTATTTATATTTTAGGTTTTATAGACTATTTTGCATGTTTTATTTTGTATTTTATTACTGCTCTTTATGTCTGTTTAAATGTATTTTGTTTTTAACAACTATAAAAATGCATAAAAATGCTAAATAAATAAAACGCATTATTATTTGTACTATTTTGACAAATATAGATCTAGATATTCATGTATCTCCATATAAACCCAGAGAAGGAGTGTTTGGTTTCAGTCTGAATGCTGCAGAAAGACAAACACACACCTTGTTGGTGACGATGAAGAGCGTGTAGATGAAGATCAGCTGATGCGTCTGAATCGGGAGAAAGTGGCACTGATGGAGAGAGAACACAACGGATCCCAGCAGCGTCACCTTGGTCGGGCTGCACACACACACACACACACACACACACACACACACACACACACACAAGCAGACACACACACACACCGACACAGATTTTACAGCAGACTGACCCTCTCACACACACACACACGCACGTGCACACACGCACGCACGCACGCACGCGCACACACACACACACACTCTCTCTCTCTCACACACAC